AATCCAGTTAAACACTAGAAGAAAGAGAAAGAGTGAGTGTAAGCAGCTTTGTCTGACACCAGTCTTCACTTGGAATTCATTTGTCAGCTTTGCTCTATTCACGACTTTGCAATGTAATCTGTCGCATGAATTCCGTATGATGTTGATGATTTTCTCAGCTCCTCAAACCATTGTTGTGGACTTATGCCCGGTTTTTTCTCACGTGATTGATTCACCAATCGAAATACGACTTATCCAATCTTAGCACTGTGCCAAACCAATGACGTTCGACCGGTATGAGCGGCCTAGCGTCCTTATTAGTCCTTTGCTCGCCTAGTCCGTCCACTCGACTCCAGAACACCAATAACAGCTCCTACTATGCAAATCATTTATTTCAAGCACAATTGGTTTATGTGCCAGACAAACAGACCAAATCACACCATAAAATAGAAAATAACGTTTGTACAACACCAAGCCAAAATATGGCTGTGAATGTGAGAGACATTAATCAATAAACTAAATATAATTTAGGAACAGAAAATCGTATAATAATAATCCATAGGTCAAAATGAACCTTATAATAAGACGAATATAGATACACACAATCTAATAACTGAATATCTATACAACAAGAATATTTATAGAATATTAGTCCATTAATAGATCCCAGAGGTTACCCGTACTTTAATCTTCACTAAGATACGACAACTATACTGTTGGACAACGTTCCATAATATTCTCCTATCCATGCTGTCAAATGCTTTCTCATAATGAAGGAAGTTGATGTATGGTGACGAATTCCATTCAATTGATTGTTCAACGACGGTCCGCAATGTCACGATCTGGTTTGTGCACAACCGATCCCTACGGTATCCGAGCTGTTGGTCGCGAAGTTGAAAGTCTATTGAGTCTTTCATCCGGTTCAGCAACACTCTGTTTTCCAAACACTTCCTGATAGTAATAGTAGTGTGATACATCTATACTTCTCATACTTCCTCAGATCTCCTTTCGTCGGTATCTTGATGAGGTGTCCTTTTTTCCAGTCTGTCAGAGGCACTTGTTCTTCACCCGAAATCTTCCTGAGTAGAACTTGAAGCATACTTGCATGATCAGGTCGGGCATCTGGGTACAGAAGAGAGTCGTTTGGGTAGTCGATGGAGACTTGTTGGTCGCAGGTCAGATAACGGTGAATGTCTACTGCAACTGTGCCCAGAATACAACCTGTGTCAGCTCCTCTCCTGGTTGTCATGTCTTCTAATGACCTTGTAAAATTTTTGGTGATTCAGATATAATCGATCTTTTTCTGTGTAGTGTGATCCAGTATCACCCATGTAGCTTCGTGAATGAGTTTGTGGCGGAGTACAACACCGGATAAAATTCATTGTGGTCCCCTCCTTTGTTTTCAAGGATGCATTGATGACTCTGGATCCATGAGATTCCAATCCTATAAGCACTTCTCGTGCTTCTTTAGACACAATCGGTGCAACTCCCTGTGTGCGAAACGTCTTCCCGATAAGAGTACTTCTATCGAAGCTTATCTTTTCTGTCCAGTTAAGCTTCAATAGGTTCCACTTGATCCAAGAACCGCCAAATTGTATCTCTTCATTTCGTAACCGTTTGACTGGTCCTCCCTGGATATTTTGCCTTCGCAATAGGTGACGTAAGTTGGCAAAAGCCAAACTAGATTTTTGAATCCATGTAGAGATTTCCTCAGACACTACACCATCAGTATTGATGAGACTCCCAAGATAACCGAAGCGGTCAACGTTCAAATACTTGACTTATGAATAAATCGGGCTCTAACGCAAGCCAACCCTGAAGTGACATTTTGCACTTAGGTGGGGAGATACGCATCCCGAACATCCTGACATTGTTTCTCAGTGCTACTAAAAGACTCCCCATTTTACCAGCGTCTTCACCAAACAGGACTGTCATGTGCATGTTCTAAGTCGATGAGTGGACCTCCTGGATAGACATCAATTCCTGAAAATTCAGACGACGAGGACGTTATTTCCAGCAGTAGGTCTATGATGAAAAAGGATAAAAATGGAGATAGTGGATAGTCTTTCCAGACACCGCTTGAAGCTGTAAAATCAAATGACAGTTCGTTATAAGCTCTGATTCGACTAGTAGTGTGCGAGTAAAGAGCCCTCACAAGGTTTATGTACTTATGAAGTACACCTTTCAACGACAGACACTGCCACAGAACCTCTCGCTTTCCATAGTCCAGTGCTGCTTCTAAGTCAAGAAAAACGATCATTGTCGGACACTGATAAGCATGCCTGTGTTCTAAAATCTTGCGAATGGTGAATATGTGGTCGAGGCAGCTACGACTAACTCTGAAGTCAGTTTGAATTTCTCGTGTTTGCAGTTCACGTGTCTTTGTTAAGCGCCTAATAATTATTGATGCTATTATTTTAGATATTATATTAGTCAAACTAATCCTTTCAACGAGACGGCACTGCTGACAATATGCAATACCTACACCGTTATTGGGGTACACGACTGTCAGTCACCATAAAACGGCTCCAGTACGGGTGAAAACTGTAGTATAATTAAAAAACAAAAAAAGTTATGACGATTCGGGAATCTCAGAGTATGACGGAATACAAAGATCCGATACATCCGCGTCATTCCAAACAATTTCCACCAATGTCATTCATAGTCCATAACCATTAGTTATGATAATCACGTGAACTCCGAACAGGCGCTAGTCTATGATACGCTAGTTAACACTGCTGTTCTCGCAGCTTTTTGGATATCACACAAAGCTACCTTGAGGTTAATATCATTTTCACAGTTAATTATCTCTTTCTCTAGTTGTTCCTGAAATATATTCTCATTATTAAGTTGAACTCTAAGAGGTTTTCTTGCTGTGGCTTTTCTAAGTCCAGTAAGATGCAGACAAATACGTGCTCGAAATAAAGCGCGTTTTGAGTTTATACATGTACTCCGGAATGAGCGACAGTCTTCAATCCAACCCCTCTACCGATGAACAACGGCAATGTGATTTACTTGAGTTAATCGATAAGTCGGTAGTGAGGGTGCCCACGTCAGACGATGTTTTGCCTTATGTTTAAAGTTGGTGATTATCAGAAATAGAAAGTTCTCTGAGCATAACTGCAGCAGACGCTCGCCGATATCTGTTCACTGAGCCGTAACAACGTAAGATCAAACTAAGTGACTTTTGGTTTGGTTGAGTTTACATATTTGTGCATCGATATCACACGCCACTATTACTACATTAGAACGTTCAGCTTTTTTTAAAGTAGGTTGGATAAATGCCTATAAAATTCATCTTCAACTTAAACCGAGCTAAAAATTAGTGGGAACGTCAGTAGAGACAATGAAAAAGCAACAGCATGTTCCCCTATCTTTTCGAGTTCTTACTGTCCTGCTTAGTCGGACAACGCACAATCGACTGTCTATTGAAACCCAGACTAACAGAGACTGTTCTACCTTTAAATTTAATGCTTCACCTACACCAACGAGGCCACAGGAAGTAGCGGTGAGATAACCAGCTACATAAAGGGTGAATCGTACCGGTTCTTTATAATAACAAGGTGAGGTCAGATGAACGACCACATTGTTGGCGCGTGGTGATAAAGACGTACGGTAAGGGCTATGAACTTCATGACTACTTTTATCTGTTCACTACCAAGGGTGAGTGCAGGATCAGGGTCCTGTCAGTCTTGTAGAATTACTTTACACTTGGAAGGTGAACAGCACATACCATACCTAGAGACATTAATTGCCAACTGATTAAGTGAGGATTGAATGACTTGGGTATCATCGCATAGTAAGACAATATCATTCGTATACTAAAGGCCGAAAAGTCGTACTCCAGGCAACAGATGCACAACGTCATTACCTATCAGTACTGTTTCCAGAACGTCATCGGTAGCAAAGTTGAAGAGGAATGGTGAGATTGGGCAACCCTGTCTAACCCCACTGCTTGAACGGAACAGCGGAGAGAGAGTACGCCTTACTTCTGTAACAACTCTCTACAGTCAGCAGTATAGCTTCTCTCTGAGACCTTAAGTTTCTGCTTTTAGTTTTAACGTTTTCCAACCGACCTACCTGGAGTAGTAGAACCTGAAGTAAAATATGTTCCAACTAACATAGCTCGGTTGAGTCATCACGATAGGCAAGCCCGACCACCACGTCAAATAGCAGCTACGGTCAACTGCTAATTTGTTACTCCATGGTTGTATAAAACAAGACAACTTACACCACCTCTCTTTATTTCTTTTGTTTATTTTCGTTATCTTAACAAACAGGAGCAATAGTAACAAAGGAAAAGTTTATCTACACATTAGATACACGCTCAAAATAACAAGTAATGGCAGACGACAGTTATATTTTGACGACTGCATTTTAAAACATTCAATTTACAATGGATTTCAACGTTATGAAGGTAGATACCAAAAGATTGGAAACCATGAAGAAAGCAGAAACTTAAATATATACACGGTGCGTATAGCTAATTCATAAAAATACACGACTTATAAAACATTTGAGTTTCTAAACATGAAATTATTGATTGATTGTATATCACAAAAAACAGAAGTGAAAAAATAATTATTGAAATGTGAGTGCACGGAGAAATAAATTAATTTGGAAAATAATTTTAATACTTTTACATTCACCAAGCACAAACTTCAGCACAAAAGAGAAAAACAAATATAACAATCCTAATATGGCTGTTTTTTAAATTTTTTCACTTAAACATGCTACATTCTGTACAAGCGACATAATGTTACTACAGGAAAGATTATGAGACATAAACAATTTACAGAAAATAGGATAGATATAGTTAATTAATCATCAAAGTTGACAGAAAAACGATGGTAGATCAAAATAGCAATGTTTCCAATACTAACTTCCATGAAAACACCGACAACTGCAAAACAACTCACATCGGTGATAAACGTAGCTTGAATATTACTTCCTTGGCTACGCTAACCAATTACAGAAACTTATGTTGCAAATGAAGATAAGAATAGTAAAAACCTTCACTGTTATCGCCCAATTTGAGTAGCAATCCAATCCAAACCTTGAGGAAGCCTAGAAAAAAGCAGTAGTAAGAATATCTTAATTTAAAAACAAAAAGAGAAATAAAAATTAATACTCAAGTAAAACTTCAAAGAATCTCATTTTAAAAAACTGAAAAATACATGAAGCTTTGACGGTAGATTGATTGCGAACTAAGAAACTCATTTTGTGGCCACTAGCACATCTACACGAGTTTTACTCATGTTCACTATAACCAATAACAGCACTGTTAAACTGGTGTCATTTGATATATATAAACAACTGAGATAAGGAATATCCTATTTTCAGTTATGTTTGCACAATAAGACAAAGATTTCCAGTAGATAATAGTAAGACGGTTTACTGATGGTTAATTCACTTAGACTAATAAGAGTAGAAGACTAACGTATTTTGAAGTACTCCGCTTTGCATTTGTTTGTCAAAATAGCATACAACCTACTATCATTGCCTTCTGTCATAGAAAATTTCCAGTTGTCTCAAGCGTTATCATGGATTCTAAAACTCTCCCGCTTCACCATCAGACTCTGTTAGATATTGGTAAGGGTTTTACTGAAATGTATGGATACTACATTGATAAGTCTATCTAAACGATCTCTGACTGGTCGAAAGTTGAATGATACCACTCAATACGAATACTGAAACAGTCATTCTGAAACCAAGTATACCATTCAAACTGGCTTCCTTCAACGTTCTCACACTAATGCAGATCGGACAACAGACAGGGTTGGCTATGTCTTTAGAAAGTCTTAATATGGACGTCTGTTGTCTATCCGAGACCCGTATTCAAGACTCTAGTGAAGTACTACAAATTCGCTTTCCACCTGTCGCCTTGAAAGGCTTGTCTCATGTGCGTTTATCCTGGGACCCTGTGGCACCTTCGTCTGAATTTTCTGGCACTGGTGTCACATTAAGCGTTAGAGCTGAGGCAGCACTGACCGATGGGATCCCCACTAACAGTCGACTATGCGCTGTCAGATTAGAAAGTTCCATCGAAGTAAAGAGAAATAGGTGTGAGAAACGATGTATTTTCGTCATTTCCGCCTATACTCCGACAGACTGCAGTCCGGATGGGTTTTACCACCAGTAAACAGTTCTACAGAAAGTGCGTTCGACAAATATTGTAGCACTAGCCGGAGCCTTGAATGATCAGGTCGGGCATCTGGGTACAGGAGAGAGTCGTTTGGGTAGTCGATGGAGACTTGTTGGTCGCAGGTCAGATAATGGTGACTGTCTACTGCAACTGTGCCCAGAATACAACCTGTGTCAGCTCCTCTCCTGGTTGTCATGTCTTCTAATGACCTTGTGAAATTTTTGGTGATTCAGATATAATCGATCTTTTTCTGTGTAGTGTGATCCAGTATCACCCATGTAGCTTCGTGAATGAGTTTGTGGCGGAGCACAACACCGGATAAAATTCATTGTGGTCCCCTCCTTTGTTTTCAAGGATGCATTGATGACTCTGGATCCATGAGATTCCAATCCTATAAGCACTTCTCGTGCTTCTTTGGACACAATCGGTGCAACTCCCTGTGTGCGAAACGTCTTCCCGATAAGAGTACTTCTATCGAAGCTTATCTTTTCTGTCCAGTTAAGCTTCAATAGGTTCCACTTGATCCAAGAACCGCCAAATTGTATCTCTTCATTTCGTAACCGTTTGACTGGTCCTCCCTGTCTCCCACATTATCTGGACATTAAATGTACCTATATTGATTGTTGCTCTGATTGTCAGAAGCATAGGCCTCGTGACTTCCGAAGGATCTCGGCTTTCATCGTGAGGAGTCATAATTTTCCGAACGAAGATCTTCCAACTCCTAGGGCAATTTAATTGTCTTGAATTGTATGTTCTTGAAAGCGTTATTGCAGCAACTTTCCTTCCTACGAGTCGGTCATCTACAGCGTAGGACCAGGCACATATATGCATCGGTCCAAGTTGCCACACCTTATTAGCACAAGATAAACAACAAACTCATAGAAGCAGTTACTTCAATAGAAGTAACACAAATAAAGGTTGTATATAAGGATATAATACAGGAAGAAAGATATGAGTCAATTTAAATATCACTTTAAGCGAAGACAAAGGGTGTATACACGTACGCCATTGTGATAGATTCTGGGTCTCTGATTCTGAGTCTCCAACACCATTGGTTACGATAGTCACGCGAACTCTAACCAAGTAGTCTGTATCTACCAACATGGTTCAGACCAGAAGCCAATGACTTCATGGACTGGTGCCACGTTTTGGTTTGGCCACCCCTAACTCTTTTCCAACCATCCCCAACACTAGTCAGCATTGCGCGTCGTGGTAATCGGTGTTCAGGCATATGTAACACGTGGCCTAACCATCTCAGTCGATGAAGATTTACAACCTCATCAACTGGTTTATCATCATCATTTCGTAGTACCCTAAGTCTAACTTCACTATTACCTACATGGTGATCCCAGCAGATGCGAGCAATATTTCTAAGACATCTGTGATCAAATACTAGTGGCTTACGAGTATCCTCTACCCTTAATGGCCATGTTTCACAGCCGTAAAGTAGAAGAGAGCAAACTGCTGCGTAGTATACTTGTCCCTTAATTGATAGACGGATATTTTGCTTTCACAATAAATAACGTAAGTTGGAAAAAGCCAAACGAGCCTTTTGAATCCGTGCTGAGATTTCGTCAGACACCAACCCATTAGGGCTGACTAGACTTCCAAGATAAGTGAAGTTGTCGACGCGTTTGACTACTTCGCTCCCTATCCTTCGTTCAGGTGTTGACGCAGGCCAGTCCTGGAGTAACAATTTACATTTAAATGGGAGATCAATTCCTCAAAATTCGGTTGAAGAGAGTGTTATTTCCAGCAATAGGTCTATAATGAAGTTGAACAAAAATGGGGATAGTGAACAACCTTGTCGGACATCACTTGGGGTTGTAAAATCAGATGACAGTTCGCCATAGGTTCTCATTGGACTGGTAGTGTTCGAGTTAAGAGCCTTCACAAGGTTTATGTACTTCTCAGGTACACCTTTCAATGACAGACACTGCCACAGAACCTCTCGGTTGACAAAGTCAAATGCTGCTTTCATGTCAAGAAAAACTATCACTGTCTGACGCCGATAAACATGTCTGTGCTCTAAAACTTGACGAATAGTGAGTATGTGGTCGATGCAGCCACGACCAGGTCTGAAGCCAGCCTGATTTTCTCGTGTTTGCAGTTCACGAGTCTTAGTTAGGCGCCCGATAATTATTGAGGCTAGTATTTTAGATGCTGTGTTAGTCAGACTAATCCCTCCATGGTTATCACAGGATGATTTTGACCCCTTCTTATATATTGGGACAATCAGTGATTGTCACCAGTCGAATGAGATTACGTCCAACTCCCAGTTTTTAACCAGAATATTAGTCAACCTAGTCGCTAAAATTGGGCCACCATATTTAAAAACCTCTGGAGTCAATCCATCAGGACCAGCTGCTCTTCCTCACACGACTTCCTAATTCGTTTCTTTTATTAGTCTGAAAAGCTGTCTTTTGTTACATACAGCCACTGCCTTTTCCATTTCCTTTGCTTTCGTTGCTCACCACTGCTCACGATCGTTCCTTAGACTTTTGGTTAACCTAGATCTGATTTGTTCACGCTCTTCATTGTGTTCAGAGCATGATGGTATGAGTTTACGGGAATCTATCATTGCAATAGACTAAGTAGAAATTCACTGGTTTTTCGTGACCCTTTGGTTCAAATAACTAATAGATGTCGCTGATGTTTCCACAGCTGTTCGTATATTATCCCAAGCAACATCTGGGTCAGCCTTGTTCTCAGAACTCCTTAAGTGTGACCTCATTTGTTCCTGGAATCTCTTTGGATTTCTCATCCCTGAGTTCAACTCTAATGGGTCTTCTTAGTGTACTTTCCCTGCGTCCATTGAGGCGCAAACAAATGCGTGCTCTTATTAGAGCGTGGTCAGAGTCTAAACATGTATTCCAGTACAAGTGACAATCTTCTATCGAGCCTCTCCAATGATGACATGGCAATATGGTCTATTTAAGTCCATCGTTGGTTTGGTGCAGGGGGTCCTTGCCATGTTAGACGATGTCTCTCCTTATGCTTAAAATTAGTGCTTGCTAAAAATAAACGATTGTCTGAACATATTTGCAACAGACGATCACCATTATCTGTTCGCTGAGCCTGAATACTAAAATACCCACTTAAATGTCTTTCTATTTGGTTTAAGCTACCTACTTGGGCATTAAAGTCACCAGCTACGAGTAGTATGTCTGAGCGTTTAGCTTTTTGAAGAAGTTCAGAGAGCTTTCCGTAAGTCATTTTTCACTTCATCCGCTCTGCAGTCAGTGGGAGCGCGGTCATAAAGGACGAAAAGACAACAACGTGTGTCCTTATCCTTCCGATTTCTTACGGAGTCATTTAGTTGAACAGCACACAGACGATTGTTAACAGTAATCCACTCTAATAGTACTTGTTCTGCACTCATACTTAATGCTATTTCTACACCTACCATTCCACGAGAACTAGCCATTGGGTCACTAGATAAACGTAGGGTGTATCTCGTCAGCTCTCCGTTTTGGAGAGGTGGGGTCAAGTGAATAACCATACTAATATCCTGTATGCGTGTTTTGGAGTCACTGCATACATCAATGGTACGAGATTCCAAGGTTTTGGCCAAGGATGCCTGCTAACCGATTTGACATACGCGTACGTTGAGTTTCCCGTGTGTACTTTGGAGTGTGTTTTTAGTAGACCTGGAAAAATGTTCCGCGCACTAGATTCGTTGGCCATGATGACACTTGAGGAGGAAGTCAAAAGAGGGAGTTTAGAGTTGAAAGTCGGGGTGTGAGGAATAATAGGAATGGAAGAGGGATATTAATTATGGATACAGTGATCTTAGTGACCTGAGGGAGTGACCGCAGTGACCAAGGGACAACTTCTTGAGGCTGATCACACACGACCTTTTTGTGAGTAACTTTTGTGTTAGTTGCGTACTTGTTAGTACCTTACCATCGGAGACGGAAGT